CGAGCACTGAGAAATCGTCCGCCGCTTTCGTCGGATAGGATCTCGGCCCGGCGGATTCGCGAAAAGTCCGGCCGAGGCGCGGTGGAGCGGGTTTCGTTTTCCCTTATTTCTGGAAGCCCGCAAATGGACTCGGGCGGAATTAATGGCCGCGATCGCGATAAAAGAAAATAATGGAACCGAGTTGGTCCTTAATCCTCTTGACTCTGGTGGCGTGCGAGGCCCGAGATAACGGTGGTTGACTAAACGAGCGCAGGGTTCAGTTACAGGCCGGGAGTTACGATTCCAAGGGGGCCAGCTATGTGTCTCGTTCAATCGGCCGCCGCTATCTTCTAGCGGGCTCAAATTTCGCGACGCTCCCGCAGTTCCTTGCTGCTCAGGGAAACGCGGTTATCCTTCCCAGGCTCGCTCGGGCTCGGCCAGTTGCCCGCCGGAGAAATTAGCTGGCCCGTTTTGCGACGCCCGCGTGGATCGTAAAGCAGCTCGGCGAACAAAAAAAAGTGAACGAAGAAGAAGAAGAAGAAGAAAATGTTCCGGTCGATCGCGTTTCAGTTCCTCCGCGGATTCATTGTTCGCTGTCGGTTTCCCTTTCGTGACGAGGACCGTCCCGGACGCGGCTCGTGGCCCGCGGCCAGCCCGAAAGTGATTTATTATTAGGAATTTCTTGAAATTTCGATGGCACCCTGACCACTCGCGCCGAGCGACAACGAGACGGTCTACCGATGAAGATGTATATTATTTAGGATGCGTAAATGCGCTCGTCGTTTCGCTTAACCCTTTCGCTACTACGGGTGGCTATAGTCAACCGCCACAAAACGACACCCACGTACGATGGGTGACTATAGTCACTTGCCACAAGATGTCACCTATACACGACGGGTGACTATAGTCACCGGTCACAACAATGGAGCCAAAAGTTCAAACAAGGGCTATCGCCTCGCTTTCCTCTGTTCGCAGACGCTATCATCTACCAAAAACTACGATCAATTGTAATAAATCTGGTCATGTTAATCCAACGTTTTTGAAGCAAAAGACTTGGCTCCGAATGCTGAAGACTGCGCGCGCTTAATGTTCCTGCTTTCGGCAGGGTGCTCCGTTCTACACGAGGGACTCCGCGGCGAGGCCCGCCGTAGCGAAAGGGTTCAATGGAAACAACACAGATTATTTTGGTGCTCGGAGGTTTAGGGGCGAAAGTAAACCGAGTCGCGGTGGAGGCAAAAATTGTCTCGTTCTATTAGAGATGCTGTTAAACCCTTGCCGTACTTTCACGAGTCCGACCCGTGACGGGGGTTTCTAGCCGTGGCCAGTTGGGTACGAATTTTATTCTGCTAGTTTAAAACGGAATAAAATTGTATTCCTTTCGCTTCGGTATTCAATTATTCCAGTGGATGTGGGCGCGCAATAAATAAACGTTTTCTTTTTCTTTGGAAGAAATTGTTGTAATCGAGAAAGTGTCAATCGTTGCAACGGTGATGATAATAATGATATGGTGAGAGGTTTAATAAGTCTTGTTAAAGCTGTAAGGAATCGCATAATTTTTAATTCGACATAATTGCATAAAATAATTTCTAGGAATTCTTTAAGAAACTAATTTGTAGTGCGAAGTATCCATTAGAATACTGATAAGTGCACTTCGTCATCTAATTATCCAGGCGATAATTATTCAATTAAATGGTGCTAATTATGCGCTAATTATTCTAATTAATCAATTCAATCTAATTGGTGAATTAATTCTGATGACACGGTAATCGGGCACATGGGTACACCTGTGTATATTCTCATCGAAATATTTTGTATTCCTGGTAAAATATTTCAATATCCGGCTAGATCGTCGTTATTTCCCACAGTTCCCATCGATATCTGTCTCGAGTCTACAATCTTTTTTATCAGAAAAATACTAGAATTGGAGGATGCAGTTTGATAGACGTCTGTTCAATAACCTGACACCCTTATGGGAGAAGAAAATGCAGAGTGCAGAAATTCTCCAGCGAATAAATACAAATATTTTACGGTGCTAATAAATATAGAATCAATTCATCAATTCATTACTGTATTATTATTATTTTATTATTATTATACTATTATTATATTATTAATATATATATATATATATATATATATTATACTATTATTATATTATTATTATACTATTGATATATTATTAATATTATACTATTATTATATTATTATTATATTATTGTTATATTATTAATATTATACTATTAGTATATTATTATTATTATACTATTCTTATATTATTAATATACTATTGATATATTATTAATATTATATTATTCTTATATTATTATTATTATACTATTACTATATTATTAATATCATACTATTAGTATATTATTATTATATTATTATTATTACGCTGAATCTTCGTAGAAAATGGAAAGGGCTTCCGACCCGTCCATGCGAAATAATTAAATAAACAAAACTGAACGTTCACACACCGATATAAAAAGTGCATAAAACAATAACGTAATACATTAGCTCCTCCCAGGGGTTCCCGGTCGTAGAACGACGTCGACAATTTTAGTTATTGACACGGAGGTTAAACAGCCGCGTTCTTCCCTCTTCAATTCGATCGCGAGAACGGCGCACCGTCCGATCAAGACCTTTCGAAGTTTGCTCGGATAAAGGAAGGGAGAAGGAAATGGAGCGCGCGAATCGCGCTCCCGGATCCTTGCATACGCCGCAGAGCCTCCGCCGGAACATGTTCGATAGGGCATAGAGGGAGCCGAGGCGGGCCGGGCCGGGCCGGGCCGGGCTGGGCAGAACCGAGGGCGGGTATCGCGGCGACGGGACGTTATGAATTAAATATATCGGTAAGCCGTAGATAATGGAATCTCTAACGAAATTGGTATGGACGCGGAGACGGGGCGCCGGTTGCGGGGCAACCGCCAGTGACGTAGAGGTTTAATTAATAGCAGCCGACTTAAATGCTTAAACGGCCCGCCGAACGAGTTCACTGGGCCAGCAACGCGTACCATCGCGTCGTTACGCAACCTAGCTGTCGCTAATTCGATACGCACACCGATGCCTAACCCGGTATGCCGTTTGCGGTAGCCTATCGCGACATGCCGTCGCGACGGCTTTATCTAGCCGGAGACGACGCGGCTCCTGTCGCTCGGAGACATTTCTTCGGAACACGGTTCTACACCGTTTTTATGAATTTTCAAGAAGTGACCCGGGTGGTTTGTGGATTTTTTTTCTTGATTTTTTTCTTGTTTCTTTTCGCATTCTTCATTTTCCATTTTCTATTTTTCGCATTTCACTTTTACGTTGTTCATTTTCCTTTTTTCTTATTTTATTTCGCATTCTTCATTTTCCAGTTTTCGTACTTCGTTTTCCATTTCTTTTATTTCATTTTTCATTCTTCATTCTTTCATTTTTCGTTCTTCATTTCTCGGACTTCCTTTTTTATTCTTCATTCTTCATTCTTCATTCTTCATTCTTCATTCTTCATTCTTCATTTTTCGTTCTTCATTTTTCATATTTCATTCTCCATTCTTCACTTTTCATTCTTCATTTCTCAGTCTTCCTTTTTCATTTTTCCAATTTTCATATTTCATTTTCCATTCTTCATTTTTCATTCTTCATTTCTCAGTCTTCCTTTTTCATTTTTCCAATTTTCATATTTCATTTTCCATTCTTCATTTTTCATTCTTCATTTCTCAGTCTTCCTTTTTCATTTTTCCAATTTTCATATTTCATTTTCAATTCTTCAGTTTTTGGTCTACATTTTTCATATTTCAATTTCCATTCTTAATTTTTCATTCTTCATTTCTCAGTCTTCATTTTTCGGTCTTCATATTTCATTCTTCATTTTCCATTTTTCGTACTTCATTTTCCATTTTTTAAATTTCAATTTTCATTCTTCATTCTTCCATTTTCATTCTTCATTTCTCAGTATTCGTTTTTCATTTTTCCATTATTCATATTTCATTCTTCATTCTTCTTTTTTCGTATTTCATTTTTCATTCTACATATTTCATATTTCATTTTTCATTTTTCACTCTCCATTTTCCACTCTTCATTTTTCACTCTTCATTCTCCATATTTCATTTTTCAGTCTTCACTTTTCATGCTCCATTTTTAATTCTTCATTCTTTATACACCATTTGTCACTATTATCGATTCTGTTACTGTTCTACTATTATTATTACTACTACTACTACTACTATTATTTATGACCTACAAACAACTCATTTTTCTACTTCTCATTTCCCTTCTTCCATTTCATTGCGTTCTCCCCCCCTGCGATCACAAATTAAAAATCCACTCAACTACAAAATTTCGGTGATCAATTTTCGCCAATTTGAACGACGTCCAAGAAACTGCTGCTACGTTTCGCTGCGCGTCGGTCCCGATCTTCCGAAACAGACTCTAATCCTCCGTTCGCAGGTGCGCCATGGAAACTGTAAACGGGACCGCGGGGCTTGCAACCCCCGGCGCTCTGAACTTTCCACCGCTCCGTTTGTACACGTTCGTCTGCCCGGGGTTGCACGGTGGCACCCCGCCCTCCGTCCCGCACCTGCTTGTCTTCGAGTGTCCTCGATGGAGGAGCGCAAAGCCTCGCTTTGACACGCTGGATTTGTTACCCGGGCTGCTCCTGACGTTTCTCGGGGCCGCGTCGCATGGCGTCGCGTCGCGTCGCGTCGCCGTAAAATATACGCGGGCACGTTCATACTATGCAAATGCGGGCAGCTATGCGCCGCCACGGAAATAAAAATAAAATAGAGAGCAACGGGCGGAACACGTCGGAAAATGGGACTGAATGGAAGCGGGCGAGCGGCCGCTCGAAGATTGAACGTGTGTAGCCGCCCCGCTCGGCGCGAACCGGGACCACGCGCGTGACAAACAAACGCGATCAACGGTGGTTCGTTCGCGTCGCCTCGATGATGCCGCGTTCCAGTTTCTTTCTTTTTTTTTTTCTCCACCGCGACGACGATGTTCTTTCTCGGCGAGTAACGATCCCCTCGATTTGATTGCAGTGCAACGCGGCCGTCGGGGTCAAGGCGTTCTTCGACATGATGCACAGCGGACCCCACAAGGTGATGCTGTTCGGAGCCGCCTGCACCCACGTCACCGACCCCATAGCCAAAGCATCGAAACACTGGCGTCTCACGCAAGTAAGCACACCGAGACTAAATCGATTATTTAATGAATACGATAGGAAAGAGTTTGATTAGGAAGGCGTTGATTATCGCTCGCGCGGAGAAATTCTAAAAAACGCAATGATGTTCTGGTCAGTTCTAATTAATACTATTTCTATCGATGGTGTCGTAACACTCCGTTTAATCATTTCTATTTAATGCTATTCTTGTAATCGTTATAGACAAATAATTATTTTTAACACATTATCGTCCGGATGGCTAGGAATAATCATTTTTTTGATTGTTCGTGAAATACCAGAGAAATAAAAATAGTATAATAGAATAGTAATAATAGAACTTAATAAAGAAACTTAATAATTGAAACCTTAATCTTTTTCTTTTTGAAAATAGGAAGTCTTTTTTTTAAGCACCCCTACACGTAAAAGATTTCGCACAAATTTAATTTTAATATTACGAATTATATTACAATTTTAAAACTATTATAGTACTCTAATATTAAATTATTTTTATTACCATTTTAATATTATTTAATACTATTTTTAATGCTGTTTTTACCGAAAAGGTTGAGGGACATATTTAAACAATTTTTAATACAAATTGATATCCTACATTTTACGAATAGAAATAGATCTTAGGCAGAAATAGATTTTAGTTACAAATAACGATTATAGGCGAAAGGAAATTGTGAACAATTAATAATAGTTATTTTCGTGTACAATGATTGCTTAATATAATATGGTTGCACCATATGATATTGCACACTGGTAATCATTATAAACAAACTTGAATAGTTACAATTCAATCTTTTCACGTTTCGCTTATAACCAGACTGTACATTTTATGCATTTTTTACAAAAAAAAAAAGAGAAAACAACTGGATCGAAAACAAACCCGGACAGACATTAGAAGCCTTTGAGAACCTAATTATAATACACGCAGCTGAATAAAATAATGAAAAAAGTGAAGAAATTTGTCTCGCGTTTCCCACAACGAACATGGAAAAATTTTAATTTTGCATAAAAATCCGCAGTCTAGTTGGCGCAGTTCTTGTGTCCCGCGAATCAACTACTCGGCTACTAAAATACTGTAGCTCTCGCATTTCGCCCGCATGCAGCGTATCAAAAGCAGCATCCAACTCGTAGTTTAAAGGTCTCCCCGGTCCCGAGTTTAGACAAAGGAAACCCGCCCGAAACGATCCTTTCTCTGTTGCAGCTCAGCTACGCAGACACGCACCCCATGTTCACGAGCAACAGCTTTCCGAACTTCTTCAGGGTGGTGCCATCCGAGAACGCGTTCAACGCTCCTCGCGTCGCGCTCCTGATCCATTTCAATTGGACCAGGGTCGGCACCATCTACCAGAACGAGCCGCGTTACGCCCTTGCAAGTATCAACCAGCAGGGCGACCGCTTTGCGACGGAACTTTGCCGCTGTTTCGTATCCGAACACGAAGCGAAAGCAGCTCGTTTTTACAGTGTGGTCGGCAAGAAAGTAATTTCGGTATTTCGACGTGAAATAAACCTCAATTTTTTCTATGCAAACATGAACTTTCATCGGTCGAATATCTTCCGTTCCGTTCGGCGACCTTTCGCCATTTTTCTGGCAACTTTATGATCCCGCGTTCACAAAAATTATGGTCCTTATCAGAAAAAAAGCTCCATCAAATGCGATTCGAGGCTATAGTTATTATTGAAATTTTTACCATTCAAAAAGCTTCGCCTTTGTGAAGATAGAAAAGTAAAACGCGTCGAAAATGTTCATTTTTGCACTCCAAGTCGAAAATTGACATCAAACTGTCAGTTGTAATAAAAACTGCGCGGAATTTGTTTCTATAGTAACCTAAAAGAATCAACTACTGATCTGAGAATCACAATTTGCAAACAAAAAAATTATAACGTTAACAAAAGAATGACAAATACAAACGTAACTCTATCTAAACATGCGAACCGGAATTATTTTCTTGCCAACGCGATATAAAAACGAGTATATATATAATAATACTCGAATAATAATTTAACCTCCCCTTCCAAAAATTGTCCACTTTTGTGCAGAATCCGAGCATCGATTAGAGAGAATTCACCGTAATCGGTTCCTCTTCTTGCAGGCGCACAATCGATTGGTCGCCGATTTGGACGACAGCAAAATGGAGGTTGTGGAGACGCAGAGCTTCGCGACCGAGGTGAGCAGCGCGCTCGAGAAGCTCAAGGAGAAGGACGTTAGGATCATTCTAGGAAATTTCAACGAGGTCTGGGCCAGACGGATATTCTGCGAGGCGTACAGGTGCGAGCGAATAAAAAGACGCCGTGGGTGCCGGTGATTTAGAAAGTGGTGCAGGAACAAGTGCACTCGAGGATATTAAAAAATATTTCTCCGCCATTCAACCAAATATCTTTCCCATTATTGGACGAAGTATTTTATAGATTGCTTGATCTTCCAAAAATGTACACGTCGTTGTCAAATTCGTTTAATTACAGGAAACATTTGTTTCGAATGGTTTTTCGACTCGCGCCGGCTTCAAAGAGTGATAAAATAAATCCTAATCATTGACTCGCGACAAACGAAAACAGCGAATTCGATGAACGAACGGGACAAACGAACGATCCTACTTATTTTCAAATGTCTCGCGTATTTGTGTTCGCACAGATAATAGCTGTGATTTTAATTTCCGGCGGCGCCGGACTCTGCGAATTCGATTGAACGCTTACTGCGTACCAATTAACGCCTTATCTGCCGGCGATCATTTCGTGATTTCCGAAAGTCCCGTAATGCACGGTTAGAAATTGCCTTAATAAATTGTTTCGGCGATAGTAATTGTTTCAATCGCGTGGCGACGAGTCTTTTTTAGCAACATTTTCAGCGAGTCGCGTTCGCGTGTCCCGACGCGGTGCATGGAAAAAAGTAAATACTATAATATTTTCCTGCACCATTCTGCTTATTCGCACGCGGTTCATTACACGCGCTGCAATGAATTGTTGTTACCTTGTAACATGATCGCGGGACGCGCGAAACAAACGAAAATCCGAATTCTTTCGCGGCGCGCGGTTCTTTCGCTTTCAAAATCAGCGGCGCGTGTCGCCGATTTCCACGAAATATGAGAAACCTTCGTGGTCAGAGATATTGGAGGCGATTCAATTGGAAATCGCGAAGGTTCGATCGGGTACGAAGATGGCGCGGCACCGAATAGAAGTGTCATAATGCCGGGGCGACGAGGGGCGGAGGAGGGATGGGACGATCTCGTGACCGATCGAACTCGTTTCCAGATTCGGCATGTTCGGCAGAAAATATCAATGGGTGATCATGGGCACGTACGCGGAGGAATGGTGGCTGCGTCCTGGCGGCGGTTGCGCGCCCTCCGAGTTGTCCGAGGCCCTGCACGGCGCCATTTTGACCGATCTGCTGCCGTTGACCACGGAAGAGCGGTACACCGTGTCCGGCATCGTAAGGCCGATGCTCTTTTCTTCTTCCCTTCTGTCCTTCTTTCTGCAATTCTTCCTTTCCGAATTTTCTTCTTCCTGTATTTCTCTTTTTTATGTCTTCCTGTCTTTCTTTCTTTTTGTCTGTCTTTCAGTATTTCTTCCTTTCTGTCCTCCTCTCATTCTTTCTGTACGTTTTTCTGTCTTTCTGTACTTTTTGTATTCTGTCTGTCATTCTGTCTTTTCCTCTTCCTTTCTGCCTTTTTGTATTTCTTCTTTTCCGTCTTCCTCCTTTTCTTGCTGTCTGTCTTTTTTTGTCTTTTTGTATTTCTTCTTTTCTGTCTTCCTCTTCTTCTTACTGTCAGTTTTTTGTCTTTCTATATTTTTTCTTCTTTCTTCCTCTCTTTCTTTCTGTCTGCTTGTTGGCCTTTCTGTATTTCTTCTGTTCTGTCTTCCTGTCTGTTTTTCTGTCTTCCCGTTTCCTTTTCTGTCTTTCTGCAGTTTTTCTTCTGTCTTCCTCACCTTCTTTATGTCTGCTTCTTGGTCTCTCTGTATCTCCTCTATTCTGACTTTCTGTCTTCCTCTATTTCTTCTTTTCTACCTTCGCGTTTGCTTTTTTGTTCTCTTTTGTATTTCTCCTTTTCTGTCTACCTGTTTGTTTTCTTGTCTTCCTGTTCGCTTTTCTCTTTTCCTGTCTATTTTTCTGTCTTCCTGTCTGATTTTTGTCCTTTTATATTTCTCCTTTTTTGACTTCCTGTCTGTTTCTTGTCCTTTCCTATTTCTTCTTTCCTATCTTCCTGTCTGATTTTTGTGTCCCCTTTTCTGTTCACCTGTTCGTTTTCCTGCCTTCCTGTTTGCTTTTCTTGTTTCCTGTCTATTTTTCTGTCTTCCTGTCTGTTTTCTTGTCCACTTTTGTATTTCTCCTTTCCTGTCTACCTGTTCGTTTTCCTGCCTTCCTATTTGCTTTTCATTCTTTCTGTCAATTTTTCTGTCTTCTAGTGTTTCTTCTTTTCTCTCTTCCTGTCTGTTTCTTGTGTCTCCTTTCGTATTTCTCCATTTCTGTCTACCTGTTCGTTTTCCTGCCTTCCTGTTTGCTTTTCTTTCTTCCTGTCTATTTTTCTGTCTTCCTGTCTGTTTTTTGTCCTTTTCTATTTCTTCTTTTCCGTCTTCCTGTCTGCTTTTGTGTCCTTTTATATTTCTCCCTTTCCATCTGCCTGTTTGTTTTCCTGCCTTCCCGCTTGCTTTCCCGTCTTCCTGTCTGTTTTTCCGTCATCCTGTACATCTTCTTCACCGTCTTTCATCCCGTCTTCCCTCTTGTTCTTCTATCATTGTCCTCCGTTCCCGCTCCCGCCGTGACAACATCCGGACGGCGAGGCGAAGCCGGCCGGTCGTTCGGAAAATTCTTTACGCTTCCGGTTCGAATGTTTTCCAGACGCCGGATCAATATCGGGTCGAGTACGACTCTAGACGGGGCACCGAGTACTCGAGGTTCCACGGTTACACGTACGACGGTATATGGGCGGTCGCACTGGCTATACAGCACGTGGCGCGCAGGATAAGGCACTATCGCCGGAATCAGACCATATCGGATTTCAGATACAGGGACGCGCTCTGGGAGAAGCTGTTCCTCGAGGCCCTCAGGAACACCAGCTTCGAGGGAGTCACGGTGAGCACCGCGAAAACACGCGGCTTAACGTGATAGTACCTGCTATGGAACACCGGTCGATCGTGATCCCATCTTGAAACAGCAGCACGAATAATAGGATAAAAACTAGATAGAGCATACGGAAGCGGATAGAAAAATTCTTTCGTTATTCCTGGACATTCTTCTTTATCGCGCGAGCATTGTTCGCAACGATTAGCTGTGAGCACTAATATGCTTAACCCTAGAAAGATAACCATATGACAACGTACGTAAAAGATAACCATACGCTTCAGAGGCGCATGCTTTTCTAAGGCGTCAATTTTATACTAACAATGGATATTTATTTAAGTTAATCTAGTCATTTTAAAGGTTTGGCATTATTGTAAAAATAAAATGCATTCATATTATATTTTTTTATATTTTAAGTAATTTTAAACTTAAATCACTAGACCTCTATGAAAAATTAACAAAAATCAACAGTCTTCGCAGGCGCCTCTGCGACGTAGGTTATCTTTCTCGGGTTAAGGTAATGGTACCTGTTATGAAACACCGAACGATCGCATCCCCTTCTCGAAACAGTGGCACGAATAATACGATAGAAATATTAATATTATACTTATTAATTTATTATTATGTATTTAATATTGTATTTATATTTATTATTTATATTAAAATTTAAATTAAATAATTTATATTATTATTAATTTATATTAAAGAGAATATAAACGTTCCAGATCACATTTTTGAACATTATTTTTTAGAAATTCACTCGCGCAAATACTGTGCCGCAGAAGAGAAAGCTGTGGTAGAAAAATGTTTATTCGAATATCAGGTGTTTCGAAGCAGGAACGTACGGTGAACATATTCCTACTTCAATTTTACATTGTCCCGATTTATGGAACACTTGGTAACCGCGTTTCATATACTCAATGTCCCCAATATTGAACGGACCTTTCAAATAGTCGTTCCAAAATAGGGACATGGAACGTGGAGCTCGGGGAGATTGCAAGAGAACGGTGTTCCATTATATTTCCACGTAGCTTAATACTCGATAATTAATTAATTATTAGTATTAATATCATTACTATTGATTATATAGTGTCTTATAGTAATACTAATTGTACCGATAATAATTAATTTAATAATCGACGCTTTACCATTTTACTCGTTTTATATTTGATTCGCGTCGAACGTCGATCAAACAGTCGTATAAATATTCGAACGACAACACTGATGTTTTAATAATATCGATGATAATCTCGCGAAAAGCGTTCCATATTAGGCACTTCTGCCTTAATCTCTCTCTCCGGACGGGGAAAAGGCGACGGTATTTAATTCGAAACAATCGGGAACCGTTCGGCCTGAAATTCGGCCACCTAACAGTCCGAGCCGGATAGCGACTACCCGATCGATGCGCGACCTTCCGATTCGAGAGCATTAAAATAAATGGAAGNAACGTGATAGTACCTGCTATGGAACACCGGTCGATCGTGATCCCATCTTGAAACAGCAGCACGAATAATAGGATAAAAACTAGATAGAGCATACGGAAGCGGATAGAAAAATTCTTTCGTTATTCCTGGACATTCTTCTTTATCGCGCGAGCATTGTTCGCAACGATTAGCTGTGAGCACTAATATGCTTAACCCTAGAAAGATAACCATATGACAACGTACGTAAAAGATAACCATACGCTTCAGAGGCGCATGCTTTTCTAAGGCGTCAATTTTATACTAACAATGGATATTTATTTAAGTTAATCTAGTCATTTTAAAGGTTTGGCATTATTGTAAAAATAAAATGCATTCATATTATATTTTTTTATATTTTAAGTAATTTTAAACTTAAATCACTAGACCTCTATGAAAAATTAACAAAAATCAACAGTCTTCGCAGGCGCCTCTGCGACGTAGGTTATCTTTCTCGGGTTAAGGTAATGGTACCTGTTATGAAACACCGAACGATCGCATCCCCTTCTCGAAACAGTGGCACGAATAATACGATAGAAATATTAATATTATACTTATTAATTTATTATTATGTATTTAATATTGTATTTATATTTATTATTTATATTAAAATTTAAATTAAATAATTTATATTATTATTAATTTATATTAAAGAGAATATAAACGTTCCAGATCACATTTTTGAACATTATTTTTTAGAAATTCACTCGCGCAAATACTGTGCCGCAGAAGAGAAAGCTGTGGTAGAAAAATGTTTATTCGAATATCAGGTGTTTCGAAGCAGGAACGTACGGTGAACATATTCCTACTTCAATTTTACATTGTCCCGATTTATGGAACACTTGGTAACCGCGTTTCATATACTCAATGTCCCCAATATTGAACGGACCTTTCAAATAGTCGTTCCAAAATAGGGACATGGAACGTGGAGCTCGGGGAGATTGCAAGAGAACGGTGTTCCATTATATTTCCACGTAGCTTAATACTCGATAATTAATTAATTATTAGTATTAATATCATTACTATTGATTATATAGTGTCTTATAGTAATACTAATTGTACCGATAATAATTAATTTAATAATCGACGCTTTACCATTTTACTCGTTTTATATTTGATTCGCGTCGAACGTCGATCAAACAGTCGTATAAATATTCGAACGACAACACTGATGTTTTAATAATATCGATGATAATCTCGCGAAAAGCGTTCCATATTAGGCACTTCTGCCTTAATCTCTCTCTCCGGACGGGGAAAAGGCGACGGTATTTAATTCGAAACAATCGGGAACCGTTCGGCCTGAAATTCGGCCACCTAACAGTCCGAGCCGGATAGCGACTACCCGATCGATGCGCGACCTTCCGATTCGAGAGCATTAAAATAAATGGAAGTTTACGCTCGGCCGACGATTCGAGCGATCCGAGCCCGCTTGCACAGGCGCTCCGCTGAAAAACGTCCGGCAAAATTCTCCACGCGGTTCGATCACGCTTTTCCCAGACGCGACATTAATTCGCGCAGTTTCGAACACTTTTCAGAGGCGATTCTCCGTTTAACCGTAATCACGGACACGCGTTAATGCATCGACGCGCGAATCTCTTTCGGTCTGTCGGTTCTCGTTTCGGGGAATCTTGGGGTGCCGTTTGCGACGCGTTCGCCGCTGAATCTGGTGCCCGTCCGCGAGACGATGGCACAGATTTCGGCAGTGTAGCGCGCAAAAAACGTTGCTCTTTCTTCTCGACTTATATCTTCTCATGTAGAATCATCCCCCGTCCGGTTGCGCCACGATTAATTTCACCCACCCTGTATACCGCTCGAGAAAATTACGAAAATTAGCCAAATTCGACTGACGATAACTTCGCGAAACGTGATCGTAGAATGATGACTCTTTTTTCAAATTAAAGCTTAAAACTTCTACTTTGAAACAGCGTTTCTAGTATTCAAGTTCGACGCGCCCTCACCGATGCATCCATTTAAATATAAAGCCATGTTCGCCACGTTAAAAAATTGCTGTCACATTGAAACCGGCCAAGTTCGACGAAATGCGCGGACTTCGTAAAATTTTTTACAGAGACGCCACTTACAGGAGAACGAAGTCCAATCCTTCCTCTTTAATTAGAAAGAAGATAAAGCCGACTGCGATTTTTTTCCGCGAAGTTACAACACGTTGAAGTAACCTCTGCACTTTAGCACTTTTTCAACCCCTGCAAACATGGTCTCCCATTTAAAACGGTACAACGGCGAGGGTGCACGAAACATAAAATCCAGTAAATCTGTCTGAAAGTAGAGATTCCAAGCTATAATTTAAAAGAAAACTCATCATGCCGCGACGATTTCTCGCGGAGTTATCGTCAGCCAAATTTGGCCGATCTTCAGCTCGACGAGAAAGACCGAGTCACCGAGCGACGAGTCACGCGCGTTTCGTTTCAGGGGCCGGTGCGTTTCTACGACAATGAGAGGAAAGCGTACATTCTGTTGAAGCAGTTTCAAAGTGAGTAGACGAGCCGAGCGGCGACATCCCCGATCGCCCCGTATCCGTACACGCGGCGTTGTTGCAGGCGGGAACGAGGTAAAAGTCGGCGAGTACGACGGCGTGACCGGCGTCCTGGACCTGACCCGGGGTCAGCCGTTGGTCTGGAGGGGTCGATCACCGCCGAAAGATCGTACGCTCCACATGATCGAGCACTCGACCGTGAACATCACGATCTATGCGGTGCTCGCCTCGGCGGCCAGCGTCGGCATAGTCATGGCGGCCATTTTTCTAGCCATCAACATCCGATACAGAAATCAAAGGTGATTATACGAGTGTGAGAGAGAGAGAGGCGGGATCGCGGTCTCGCTTTCGACTGTTCATGGGAAACGAGGCCCCCGGAATTGCCCCCTTGGTTCACGATCGCGTCCGCGTTTCGACGCGATGAAACGCGAAAAGTCCCCGCGTATTCCCGTTGTCGTTGTTGTTGCCTCCTCCGTCACGTCAGCGCGCCCGTACCGCGAACCGCCGTCTTTCTCCGTGCCTCTGCTCACGACCGACCATCTTCAACGTTTCAGATACATAAAAATGTCATCGCCGCATTTAAACAACCTCATTATCGTCGGATGCATGCTGACCTACAGCAGTGTAATTTTCCTTGGGTTAGATTCGCAGCTGTCCAGCGTAACGGCATTCCCCTATATTTGCACCGCGAGAGCGTGGCTACTAATGGCTGGTTTCTCGTTGGCCTTCGGCTCCATGTTCTCGAAAACATGGCGGGTGCACTCGATCTTCACCGACGTCAAGCTCAACAAGAAGGCGAGTAACGTTCGTTCCAAGCAACGTGGCGCAGTGGTCCGGCAAGCGGATTATGCGAATTGGAATTATTTCGCTGTTTCTTTTATATATTTTATTTTTATCTGGTTACTTTTATCTGGTAATACTTTTTAGGCGACGTTCAATGCTTTGTCCGAACTCGAGGAGAAATGGAGACCGTTCCATTTAGAGAATTGAAGGTGGCCCTCGTATCTTGATTAAAAGGCGAAATAATGTGAAGTCGATATTGCTGCAGTAAATTCTCCCTAATTGACGCTCGGAACGAAGCTTGCAAACGAGAATGGACAATTTGGGGAGAGGGGGTGCGATTGTTCGAATCTCGTGGCTCGTTTTTATTGTTTTATTATTTATATTAAAGTATAAAATAATCGTATCTCCGCTTGCCAAATTGTTCAGTTTTGTTTACAAGCTGAGAGGGAATTTACTTCAATTAGGGAGAATTTACAGTACATGCCCCCTCCCCTATTTGTTAACCGTGCAACTTCTATCTGAAACATTTCTTCGTGCAACGAATATTTTATCTGTTATCTGATTGTAGAATGAGAAATAATGACTCGACAATGGCATCGATTTTGTGTAAATCAAGATCAAATACTTTTGTCATTTTTGTTGGTTAGTATGTTTCAATTATTTAACACGTTCGCGGACACGAAAGATTTAAATGAGCTGCAAAACAGGTGATTTAGTGTTAACGCTATTTCTATCGAGGGGGGGGGGGGGGGGGC